TGAAGAGATTTTTGAAGAAAAATCAAATTTAGAAGATACATCTAGTGATGACGAATAAAAATAAAAATAAAACTAATTTCTAAAAACTATAAAGATTGAGGACATGATTTGCAATACAAAATGGATTTTTATTTAAAAAACCCAAATGGGTCATCTGACCCGGGTGGCTTGAAAATTCTCCCACGATTCATAAAGAGGAAGAGTTCAAATTATATACACAAGCAGAGAGTGTGTAACTGTGTGAAGACTGGCAGGCTGGTGAAGTTAATGATCTCATTGAATGCTCTCAACGACGCTGAAGCAATCGAATTGAATTCTTGGCAACTAAATCTGGTCCCATCTTTTTGAGGCAAGTGCTTTTTGCATTTTTTCTTTAATATAAACTTCTTCACATCCTTTCTACTAGCCCCTCGTGGTCTATTTCTTTATGAAAATCTATAATATCACCCAATTTAAGAAGAGAATCTCATTCTTTCTTTTGTTCATGCACTGATTCCTTTAGTTCTTTGCCATCATAATATTTGTCAGGTGTATTCATTACTTAAGCAAAAACCATGGTCAATGCATATATATATATATATCTCCTAATGCATGCCTATTCTTGGATATAGTTGATCCAAGTAGAATGTGATACAATTAAAGTTTTAAATATGTCCAGGAGAGTAAGAAAAAAGAATGTTCCAATTGTAGAAGAAGATAAGGAGAGAGCAAATGGTAATTCTTTGGCATCTACACATGGTTATGCCCCGCATAGGCGTTCGAAAAGGTTTATACTGAACGCTTTTATTTTTCAGTTTATATTTGAGGTCCATCTTTCGTACTAATGGGTTCGGGATCCTTCTGTCATTTGTCATTATCTTTCCCCTTTCTGGAGCCCTTTAGTTTTTCTTGGTTGTTTTAATGTCTATTTCTTATGTTTTTTTTGGATCAAATTAACAGCCAACCCCAAATTTATCTTGAAAATAGGCTTAGTTTGTGGTGTTTTTGTATTTGGAGCATATTATTACTTTGAAATGTTGAATGAAAATAAAGAATTCCAAAAATCTGTTCTTTTGTGCCAACCCTGAGATTACTGTGATACCAATTCTTTCTGGTCCAAAGCTTTGATATTTTATATTTATGCCTATTTTGACCTTAATGCAAAAGAACTATTGAGAAGTCATAGAATGAATATTTCTTCCAGAGGGTATTCCGTCGGTCCCAATTTTCTTTCTTTTGAGAAAGATAGAGGTTATTACTTTTCAAACAGAGTACTTCAGGTTGAATGGAATTGAGTCATAGAATTGGAACTAGATATGTGTGTATTGAAATTTGAATTTCATTTTTAGAGAATTTCAATTCCATCACAATGCTACAATGCCAAATAGAGCATGGTCATCTTTATCAGCTTCAAGGGCTATAGGTTTTGGAGTATTTATATTAATTGGAGGCTTTAAACTTGAATGTAAACGTGGTTCATAAACTGCTCATGTAAAGAAGTCAGCGTTAGGTTAATTTTCTTTATACTTTTCTATTTGCTTACCATGTTCTCCCATTTCATTAGTTTTCTAGAATTGCTACATTATGGTGCCTTAATTTAATAGATGAGAAGATGTCTTTGTTGACCATGTTTGCAGTGCTTCTGAGAGAAACTTAAATCTTACAAGAGTCGGAGATTCTCACTGCACACAGGACTTCAATCAATCACATGTAAGCATTGTAAATTCTTACACCAGAAGAGACCAGCAATTTCATATTGCATTGAAAGTGATTGCTAATTGATGAATTTGACTAACCTTTGAATCTACAGGGCTTGGCAGCTCCTACAAATAATGCCAGAGCTAGCCCACTTCAAGAAAAATCATTTACTATCAAGACAGATTATATATCTAATCATAGGGCCTCCTTGGAAAAAGATGTGAGAATATTTGCTCACTCACAACCTTTTTTCTACTTACGTTTATATCTTCGTTTATGGAAATCAGTATAAAATGCTGCACTATTACAGAATTAAATGGCACAAAAAATCTTGAAGGTTTAATCTCTTTACACTTATTGTTTCCCTCTAGACTGTTCAGACTCCGATATTAGATTTTTGTACTCCATCATCATGAATTAGTTGGAAAGTGCAACAGCATAAGTTTGGAGCACCATGACATCTCTCATATAATTTCAGGGTCCATTATGATGGAAAACGGCTTTGGAACTGAATTTCACTAATTCTGCTGCCAAACCCATCTAGTTCAAAAATATGGAATCTTGATTAGTTGTTGTATACGCAATTCGTCTTTCATCCTTTGTCCTCCACCTCCCCTTCACAGTTAAGAGGTTTGAGTGTCTTAGTACTAATGGTCTCTTAATTGCAATTGTCACAATAAACCGAGCAGTTAACCGTTCACAAGATTGTAACCAGATGGGATTGGTGAAGGGGTATCAGTTTGGTCCACAATATTCCAGGCATTCTAAATATGTAATCAGATAAATCAGATTGACATCCTATTTAAGTCTTTCCAATGTTATAGAATTCTCACTAATTGGATATGCATTGACCAGTACAAAAAATTGATACAAACAAATACTAGCTTTTAATATGTAAAAGTGCATCGAGTATGTGTCCTCCAGGTTGTTCTTTGTATTTGTAAACAAATAGAAGAACATCCATAGCTGTCTATTATGTCAAAATCCATTTTGGTTCACATTCTTTATCCTTGTAAAAAATATGTATCACATGCCGAATAATTATGGTATTTACTTGGTAGCATAAGACCTACAAATCTTTTATCAAAAGTGACTTTAGTAAAGTTGCATGCATCTATAGATACAGCTTGACTATCCAAGTTGTCAAGAATAAAGAATAAGATTACAGAGATCGTCAAAGATAGCGATTATAATATTTACTTTCCTTAGTAGTAGCTTACG